AAAAAAAAAAAAAAGAAATCAACTTAAGAGAAAGTCCTGCTGAGTGGTCAGCGGTATGAGAAAGCCAAGCAGAGTTGAAACTCCTTAAAGACAAGGCTTCTTTCAATGCAGTGTCCCAAGTAGCAAGTTAATGATTTGCTACAGCGTATTTGTACGTATTATGTCAACATTTTCAAATTTTCTTCAATGACTAGTACAGTCTACAGAGGTTTACCAAGAAGTCTTATTTCTCTACCACAGACCTATAAAGCATCTCATTTGAATTTTCTCAAAAAGATCTCAGACTTCAGTAAAGATCTTGCTGATGGCCTCCTCTGAACTAGCCCACATCACTGCCAACTCAAATTTTCATCCTCCCTTAACGAGGACCATTATCTATTTACTTTATCTTGTTTTTAGCCTGTTTTTCTTACTGGAACATAAGCTCCATTAGGGCAGAGAAATTTTAATCTATTTATTTTCATAATACCAACACCTGAATAGTACTTTAAATACTAAACAGTTTAAAAAAATAATGTTGAGTGAGTGAATATAAAAAATGTTCAAGGACAGATATGCTCAAACTGTAGAATGAGCATATCCAAATGACTACCCTTAGAATATAATGTGGATGAGTGCCATTTAATACCAATTGTACCACTTTCATGCAATAATAGGATCTAAAGTACACTGGGTAGGTTGTTAACATTTATTATGTCTGTATTATATATGATTGAACTATTTCATACAAATACTTGTTAATATTTATAAGAATTATAAGTATATTTATATAGTGCGTTAATATATCTTCTCATTATAAGTTATTCTACACACTATGTTTTAGTTATACTTGCATGACATTGTTTTTATAAATATGTATTGTTTTTATTAATTACCTAGAAACTTTTGCTGATGTTTACGTTAGCTTCTATAAAATCAAGGACTGCACTGTAAACTAACCTACAACTACAAGACAATCAACACTTGGTGTTTTTTTTTTTTTTTTTTTTTTTTTTTTTCCGGTACCAGGAATCGAACTCACGACGTCATACTTGCCAGGCAGGCGCTATGCCGCTGAGCTAAATCCCTAGCCCCTGACAGCCAACATTTGGGATTGAAATTTTTAAATTATTTGAAAAATTCTGACCCTTTCAGAGGAGAAAAAAATTCACCTATCACAAGTTTCATGGATGAGGCACCTGAACAAAAAATATTAAACTGAGAAAAGCATATGAATTGATTTATAATATACAGTACAATGCTAGAGTCTTCAAAGACCCAAGAAACAGGAACAAGTATATATTTTATCCTAAATCTGACCAAAAAAAAGTAGACAGTTGTACAGAGTCATGATTGGAAAAACACAGGGTATGAGCTAATGGCAAGAGGCTGAAGGAAACTTAGCAAAGCCCATTTTTCTTGGCATCTTTGTGTGAGTTTATCTACCCCGGGTATGAACAAGTCCCCTCTGAAATGAGGACTGTAAGACCTTCAGATGAGAGTCAGAGAACTTTTACGGCCTACTCTATTCAGGGCAAAACACTGGGAGGTCAGAGAACTTCCTGCTTCGCTGTTTCCTTGAATTTCAAAATAATATATAAGCAGTTATCAGAAATGCAGTGAATTTTTTTATTAAGTTTTTAAATTTATTATAGCAAAAGATGCATTGCTAAGAATGATGGGATAAGTGTTCACAGCAAGAGGGAATATTGTGA